AAATGCCACAAGATATGCACGATGCACTGAGGAAACTGCATATATAGCATCTTACTTATATCCGTCCTTATATACAGCGTCTGATACAAATATGTGGGAAATCAGAGGTCGATATGGACAATACATTGAACTTCAATTCATAGAACTTGATGTGAATATTCTGTCAATGATTGATGCGTTTGTTGAAGTATTTGACTTTAATATCATGGGAGAAAGATCTGCATCTCTTGGGCGCTTCACTAAGGCTTCGAAGCCACATTTTAGATTGATATCAAGTTGGCATATGATGGATGTAGAATTCCGTGTTGGAAATGATTTGACTGGTAGAGGCTTTCTAGGTTTATATACGATAAAAGATAATGTTATTGATACCATTTCAAATGCATCAAGTAAGTTTTTTAAAGTGTCATTTTACTTGTATTTGGTATGATATTTCAAGTCCAATCAATCTAATTCCTAACAATATTTCTTTCTTCATAATTTGCAATGTCAGTTAAATACATAAGAAAGATCTCGAACAAACATCAAAGCTTATCAATAAAAAAACAAAAAAAAACCCAAAAAACATTAGTATATACCAACAACAGCCTTTCAATAACTTGAATATTGCAAAAGTACTTAATCCTATGAAGACATGCTTTCTTGAATTCTTAATTTGGATATTAACAACATATATTATGTAAAAAGATAAAAAAAAAATAATGTTATAAATAAAAGCAACAGTAGTATACCGCTGTTCAAAAGTCATAAATTGGTTGTGGGAAAACAAATCCGGGTTACAAACTAAAACCGAGGGAAACACATCAACTATAAGAGGAAAACAAAGGAACAACAGGAACACTGAAGTGCAACAAAAACAAACGCCAACGTACATAGAAACGAACTATTTGATAACAACTGCCATATTCCCGACTTGGTAAGGCCATTTTAAGAAAAAATAGTGGGTTGAACCTGGTTTAATGGCTAGCCAAACCTCCCGCTTTATAAAACAGCTATGTGGGAAGATGTTCAAAATGATTTGTGTTTAAATCTACAAAAAATACAATTGAATTATATATTTTTAAACATTATTCGCATTAAATCAAATCAATAGAAAATGATGATGCATGGCTGTTTAACGTCTGGTGGCAAATTACATGAATATTCAGGACGAGAATATGTTAATGCTAAAACTGGAAGGTACTAGACCAACACGCGGAATTTTGACTTTTACGTGCTAGTTTACAAGTCCGCAGGCAACTTTTCATCCTACTCGTTAGTCTGTCTCCGAGCCGACCAGTTTTTGCTTTTACTACTTTTTGCCATGCACTTGACGGAAGAAAGAGCAAGTACCAATTTTAGAGTCTTTGGCTTGATCCGGTCGGAGATAGAACCCATAAACAACAGTTTTTTTTCAGATTGTGCTGAAACATGGGCTCACTTGAAAACAAGTTGTTATAAGCTATTTCACAACAACAATACAAATCAACAAAAGGCTGAAATTGCATGTGTGAAAGAAGGGGGTCACCTTGTCAGTATCAACTCTGAAGAAGAAATGGCATTTGTCCATCAACTGTTGTTCACTATGCCTGAAGCGACAAGTGCTGACAAAGTATACATAGGCATGTTAATTCTTTTTGATTTATTTATAGATTCGCATCATGACTGTAATATTTTTTCGTTAGGCAAATTTACAGAATGCATCTTACATTTCAAAAGAATTTTCGGACTGTAACATCAATTTGAAATAGCAACCTGAAAACAATTGGAAACGTGAAAGTAAAATGAACAACCTGATGAAATTTTGATGTGAAGAATAGTTCCCTAAATTTTCATTTATCATGAATCAAACCGTAAAAATGTACTTGTCTTATAAACACCAACCGCTCATCAACAATATTAAACGTCCTCGATGAAACAGAAACTATATAATACGACCTGAACATTTACATTGCATTTCTACACAATTTTGATAATATGCATATACTTAGGGACATGACATATTTACAAATGCACAAAAACATATTTTTTAGATATTTTCCCTTACAAATAAGTTTGCTTTGAATTTTACTTTTTAGGTTTGGTCAAGAGGAATAAAGGTTACAAGTTTACAGATTTCCAGTGGTTGAGTGGTGAACCATTAACGTATACAGCCTGGTAATATGCTTATTCTATTTTCTAATTAAAGAAAACCACACTATAAAAAAAACCGGTGGATTTAAACAGGTAATTATAAAATATATGAATCAATGTCATTTTCAATTGAAAAAAAAAAACAGTTTGAATTTCTAAAGAAGGAATATCGTACGAGATGTATAAGCATTTTATCACTTCTCACGCGATTTACCTTAGATCAAGTAATACTCGTATCTGTCAAACAAATTCAACTAAAACGTAAAGCTAATGAATAAAACTTCAACTTGTGAGGAAGAATGAATGAAGTTTTCGAAGATTGAATGACTACATGCACGACAACCGCTCCTGCATAAATCTTATTCAGATACTTTATATGAGATTATAAATGTTATTTAAAACAGAAGAAAATTTTTATAGCCTCAGCAGCTTAAGATAATTTGTCTATGGAATTAATTAGTTAAATAAACGATCAACGGTATCTAAATGTATAAGACTGCGTGGATAATGTGTTTAGCTAGTGTGTTTAGTTACAGACATATAGTATCGGTCAACTATTTGGTGGTAGTAAACGTAAATTTACAACACATCGATATAAGCCTATATTAACAAATTCATGGATTAGTGGTGTTCATATGTTAGCTATATATTTATGTGATATCTAAGTAATCGAAGAAGTGGATATATATAATCAATATCTTATTATAAGACATATACTAAATTTACTGACTAATGATAGATTTGATAAGACATGTCATACACATGTCCAAACACTGCTTTATGTGTTTAAAGGTATAACAAATTGTCAACGGGTATCTCTCAACCAGATGGTTTCGACGACGAACAGTGTGCAGCAATCATACTTAAAAGTATTCATGATAAACAGAACTGGCATGATGTTCCTTGTGCGTATGACAAAATATATTATTTCATGTGTGAGACACAATTGGATCCAATTCACAATCAAGGTATACTATAATATCCTTTAAAATTTTACGACAGAAAATATGAAATATAAATACAAAATAAACACGTCTGTACAAATAAATACTGTAGTTTGTATACTACATGTGATGTACGACATTTCATTCCTCTAATTTGAATTTATACACTTCTGGGAATCGCAATAGGGATATACAGAATTACCCTGTTTAATGTTATGCTCTTCTTTCATAATTTCCATACCTTTGATCATAATTCCTTTTACATACATTGACACACATAGTTATGTTGTCTGATCACGGGTAATCAGTGACTGATATGCTGCTTTAATACTTCCTTTAATTCATTAATATAAAAAAACAACGTATTTTGTTATTATAATTACTATTTGGTGATGTACAGATTATCCAAATAAACAAATGATCAGACGGGATTTGCCTCAATACAATAATATTGAGATTTTCTTCTGTTGTCAACTTTCACTCTATATATTCATGGACTTCATCTTCTTGTTTAACTTTGACTTTGGCATTTCAATTTTTATTGATCCAACATATAAAGGCAATAGTAGTATACCGATGTTAAATAGTCATAAATCGATTTAACTGGAACAAATCCGGGTCACAAACCAAAACCGAGGAAAACACATCAATTATAAGAGGGGATATGAAAAGACAGAGATGTATTGGATAGTTATTATGTATTTCTCTGTCTTTGGTGTTTTTGCATTTATTTGTACTCTGTTCCCGTCATGTAATGTTGTCATTTTAGCGGTATATATAACATTGCCATAAAGCGCGGAGGTTTTGCTAGCCACAAAACCATTTTCAACCCACCATTTTTCTTAAAATGTCATGTGCCAAGTCAGGAATTTGGCAGTTGTTATTTAATAGTTCGTTTCTATGAATGTTGCATTATTTTTTTTTTGTTGCACTTCTGTGTTCTGTTATTTCGTTGTTTTCATCTTATAGTTGATGTGTTTCCCTCGGTTTTAGTTTGTAACCCGGATTTGTTTTCTCTCAATCGATTTATGACTTTTGAACAGCGGTATACTACTGTTGCTTTTATTATCACATGATTTGTTAGTCTATTTGAAAACTACTTACAATGAGTGTTCAAGTTATTCTCATCAAACCATCTGCACATAGTTTAAAAATAAATGGCTTTTTATTACAACCTCACTTTGGAAGACGGATGGACGTACATTCATCATTAAACTTTATGTACCAACAATTCAAATATTGATTGTGATTATCAGCTAATGTACTGGCCTATAGCTGATATGGGATTAACAAATGCAGATAATTATGCTTTTTCATTAAAAGACATGTAATTTAAGCTGGTTGGTTAATTTTGAGATAGATTTGTATGTCTATTCTTATCTTATTGCACAGCTTGGAACCATTCTTGAGGTTGCAGTTGACATACGGAAAAACACGATCATCGGCTCTAATTTCAATTGCTTTTATTAGGAAAACTTAGATATATACTTTTATCATCAATAGAACAGACAATTTATTATGTTGCTTGTTGTATACTAGAATCATTGTCGGATTTATACTGATTGCATATTATATCTACATCGGGTTTTGGTCAACGTTTTACTGTATATTCTGTCTAATAAATAAAGGCATCAATAGTATACCGCTGTTCAATAGTCACAAATCGATTAAGCGAAAACAAATCCGGGTTACAAACTAAAACGGAGGAAAAACACCAACTATAAGAGGAAAACAACGAAACTACAGAAACACTGAACTGCAACAAAAAAAAACATCAACATACATCGAAACGGACTATTTGATAACAACTGCCATATTCCTGACTTGGTACAGGACATGTTAACTGTCTAACCTTATTTTAAGGATACATACTATTTTTTTTCAGAGATCGATGACGGAATAAGAGTAATGAACAATACAGGATCGCCATTTTCTAATCGTTCCATGTTTACCTGTGGAAATGAAGAAGTTATATCACAGTTAGCAGTTTGTGATTCTTATAATGATTGTTCTGACAATTCTGATGAAAAATATTGTGGTGAGAAATTTTTTGTGTTTGCTTCACGTTATTTGTTTTTACTGAAATTCACCTGGTATATCGTCTATGTTCTGTATGTCATTAGAAATTAGACCATTGATGATGAAATAACCCTTGATTCAAATGTAACTTCTTTTTGACCTTGATATATTCTCTTTAAAAATCGTCGTGTAAATCTTATAGTGCTATATGTCCACTTTTGATAAAATGGAGATAGGAGATAACTATAAATTTGAGATCCAAATGCATTGGTCTATCTCCCTATACAACTATAATACGAGATTTCTACTCTCTACGGGTTTTTGCAAGAACTACACTGTTCTATTTCCACACCCCCATTGGATTATAACGGCTTATTCATCTAGTTAGTTCAGAGAAAATATTTTTATAGTGTTGTATCTCCACTATTTCTCATGTATTTTTGCTGTAGTACTATTATTTAATGGTTTGCATGGTTTGAACTCAATCTATGAGCAATTCTTAGCAAATGCAGCAGTACAGAATCGGGGATATTACAAAGTTAAGAAATCCATGGTCTATCTCCAATGGAAATATAGGGATAAAACTACATTGTTTGTAGTGAAATGTTCTATCTCCAAAAAAGGGGATACTATATTTGTCTAAGTTGCTTGTCTATTAAAAAAACAATCGAACACAGAGTTACTCTTCATGTAGGTCAATTCGATTCCTATATAACTTTTCATGTCTCATTCAAATATTAATAGTATTAAGCTTTTAAACTTTAATTTAAATTTTCACCACTATTACAAAATTGGAAATACACCATAATAAGATTCACATGACGAAATCTTTAACTTCTTAACAAACAAACAAATAAAATGAAAACAAAACAAAAACAAAAGAACGCAATAACATATAAACATATAATGATATGACACCACTTTTACTGAATACTCATGTGACACTTAGATAAAAACTTATATTTAGATAAATATTGAAAAAATATATGATATTCCCAAGGGGTATTTGCGAAACTACCTGTCGAGAAAAGGTAAAAATTTTTAAGTCGCTTGGCGGAGAATATTTTTTCTCAGAGCTGGAATTTTGCAAAAATCCCTCCTGATATGTCTGTTTAGTTACACCGAATAACACGAGAGATAGTAAAGTTAAACATTCGAAATTTATTCTGTATATTTGTCCAAGACATTAGCATTTGAAAAAGCGCAAAAACGATAAAGAGTATCTTGGACTGGTGAACATATGGTCATATAGATAGCGACATGTTATCGCGGTGTTTTAGCTTTATATAATACAATTATAACCTTTGTATGAGGTCGATACGAGGTCGATATAACACCATATTGACCTCAGACAAAGGCTACAATTGTTATATTATTAATCAACAACCATTGCATGAACAATGTAAAATTGTGGATTTCTAGAATGTATTTTTAGTAACATGCTGTATGTCAAGTGCAATATGCTGTTTTTGACCTACTAAAAAGCTAAACACAACATTATCGACGTGCAAACTTAGTATATACAAATGAACATGTGATCAAGTTTTAACGAATCAGAAATCCTTAAAAATATTCGATTATTAATATACCAGAATATTCGTATGATTTATAAATTTATTGATTGTGTTCTGTTCTCGATGGTGACATTTGAATGAAAGTTTATTCGCTTACCCTGTCGAAGCACCGGGTCTCGCTCCTTTTGGTGTTAATGCGGTTCCCTCATTTATTTTCTTTACCTTGATATGTATCTTCTTATTGCATTAATGAGACTTGATCATCAGTTAATTTCTGTTGCCACTAGTATACGTTTTGGCAAATACAACGACAGAGATTGTATTGAAGGCAGCATATATTATTGCATATATGGTGATATATGAACAATATTCATCTTATTTAAGATACATGATAATGCACATCCAAATCCAGGGGACTTATATTAGGTGTAATTATTTTAAAATAAAATCATTCTTAGGATATATTCAACTTGTATAACTTCTAGAATAATGTGTGGTTAACAATACCTTTTTATCAAATATACTAAAATATTTATCATCATGATGTTCCTTTTCATGCTTTACTAAAAAAGATGTCTGTTTGTTTTCATTTTGCATCATATTCACAGGACAGAACCTGGTCACTCGAAAAAAACCGATCAATTCATTAGAAAAAACACAATCCAAACCGGACGCTTTACCTACCGTTGTTATATTATAAAGGCAATTATGTGGTCTAGCTAATTATCATCTTGTCCTGGAATACTACTTTATTGTACTTAATATTATACTTTGATTGGTTGTCAATGTGAATAATGGACTGTAAATAAAACAATAAACAATATTAAAATATGCATAATAAATTGAAGACAGTAAACAGGAGATAACATAAAAAACAATAAAACTAACAACGAAACACCCCAAAATATTAAATTCAAAACAATTATTTTAACAATTAAAATTTTTAGATGAAGATTAAGTACATTTAAAGGGTAATTCTAGCTTAAAAAATCAATATCAGCCAAACTAAGCAAATGTGTTATGAATAAAAACATTATGATGGCATCATTTTAACAGACCATTTTTGTAAAATATAATTTGTTCCTCCCAAAAGTAGTTAATGTATATACGATCACCATATTTTATGAAAGGAAGTGTGACAAATGTATCTGTGAATGAATAATACTTGTATAAAAAATAGGAAAGGACTGATAAATATTGAAAATCTGTGTTCCAACTTTTTTGAGACAGGTTGTCAGGCACTTTCTGTTGCCAAAACACAATCCTCTTACCTTAATATCTTACAGGAACTTAAGGCATTATTATGTATAAAAAGTAAGTGAGCAAATGAGGCTACTTCAAGACTCCAGTTTTCATTTTCTCTGCACTTGTAGAGAAAAGACATTAAAGAATAATCATTATGATCTCTTTATTTATATAAATTTAATGCAAACACATCGTAATTTAGTATCCAACTTTGATTATTTCAAATACAAGTTTAAATTCTACTTTTAAAAAATTTTAACAGAAAAATTCCATAACATTTATGATACATAACATGCCATTACGTTAGGCACTGGCTACTAGGTATGTGTTACCTTCGGAGTCTTCATAACCACACAACGACAGAAATGACATAACTAGATACGATATTATAAAAAGAAGATGTGGTAGTATTGTAAAATTACACAACTAACAATCAGCGACATAATGACGTATATGTTAGCAACTTTGGGTCATCATACAGCATTCAGAAAAACTCATAGCCCATAGCAAGCTATAAAAGGCCCTTCATCACAAAATGTAAAACAACCCAAACGAGAAAACCAACAGACAGATTTTTAACGTACAAAACAATTAGCGGAAAACAAATATGAAATACAAACGACAACCAGACCACTAAAAATCACACGAAAAGGTCTTGACTCATCAAATCGATTTAAAGCACAAAAATTAACTAACAAAAAGACTAAAGACACATAATACCGATTTAAGGTTACCCGCAGTTACTTAAATTTGTTCATATCCAATGATAAATAATAAAAAATCATATATCAAAAGACAAAATCAGTGTTAATCCAAAGGATTTAGTCATAGATGTAATCAACAGTGTGAGAAAAACATGACTTTGTGCAATGCTAAAATAGAAATAGAAATTTTCTTTTTTATAACATTGTCAAATTTTTTCAGGTGCTATGATTTCTATGTTGATTCATCTAATTTCAATCAATCAATCAATCAATAATTATAATTGTATAATATTGAAGCAGAACTTTGCTTTCATTACGATTACAGGAACAGCATGTTTAAGTTCCCAGTACCAATGTGCAGATGGTTCATGTATACAATTTACCTTCTTCTGTGACCACATAGTGCACTGTAATGATGGATCAGACGAACATCACTGCCGTAAGTTCAATTATTAATTTCAATATATTAATGAAATGATTTTCTCTAGATAGAACAGGTATATATAGGATTGTATGTATGTACAGGTAAAAATCCGAAACTTTACCGATTTATCTTATACTATTTTCGTTAGGTTCCTTTAGGTCATGAAACCCATCGCGTATTCAGGTTTATATATATTTTGGCTTTCAAATGTTGGGTATGAGCATACCTAATGAAGGAGAATCCAGAAAAGAGCTTCGGATGCACGAAATTTATTTACTGTTATTTTCATTTACTATTTTTCGATACCACTGATGATGGACTGCTAGTCTCCAAGGGTATCATCAGTTCAGTAGCCAGTGTTCCGGTACTGACATGATTTATAACATTATTTTCTAAAATTCTCCGTAAATAAATAAAGAAAGTATTTAGAATCTAATGTGCCAACTCCTTCACACAAAGTTGACCTAAGATGAATTGACTTTTTTTTTGTTTCCTTTTTTGTCATAAAGCTTCTCACGTATTCAAGCATTTTAACATCTTTGGCTTTCAAATGTTTGGGTTTAAGCGTTCCTGAAAAATCCAAACAAAGTGTTATTTGTATTATGTAAGTTTGAAAATGTTTTTCCTGAAGGAAATATGGAAAAATTTCGAATTTGATGTTTAATGAATTGATCGTTTGCAGAGCTTGTATATGACAGGATATTTGAAATAACATCACGATTCCAATTAAGGGTATCGAAGGTTAATGCTCGAAATCTAAATTTTTTAACAATCTCTGTTGGTGTAGACCTTAAGGGGTATGCAAAGCTTTCAGAATATTTATACATAAAAATTTATAGCTGAAATCGCCTAAAATACCTGATGGTACAACAAACAACATTAACCACCAACACCTGACTCTAACAAAGAACCAGACATACACACACATTGGACCATTTGTAAAGAGTTGAGGTTAAAATTATTGTGCTTCGGAGTATTATTATAATTTCATTTGATAAATAATATGCAGGGTATTGTGCAAAAGAGACTTCAGTGTTGTAATGTTAAGACTAGAAGTTACAAGATATCATTTCACTTCTCAAGAGAAAGACATCTGAACACATCTAAATTCAGATGAAATATTCAATAATCCGCTTATTCCTGTTGAACTAAGGAAATGTTAACTCATTACAAACAGTTCCAGAATCTGCATGTTTGACTAATTCCTTTCTGAAAGGGAGGTTACCTCTATCTTATAAATGAAAACAATACTCTACTTACAATAATATAATGTTTCTGGTAAATGATTATCATATATGTCTTTATCTCGGAAATATATATTGTTATCTCTGTATTCAACTGATATCTTTTGTTTAGGATGGGGAAGTTGTACAAACGGAGAATGGCAGTGTGACAACAAACAGTGTATTCCTTCAGCACAACGCTGTGACGTCACAATCGATTGTCTTGATGGATCGGATGAGAACAGTTGTGGTATATAAAATATATGCTAAGCTATTTGCCAATTCATAAAAAAAAAGGAAAAAGTGAAATGTTACTTTATAGAGGGTACAACTTCCGTGGTACCTTTGAAACAGTAACATGCAATGACAAAACTCTTTCTGTTTTCAAAGAAGTTATTCATAAACATGTATTCAAATCTGCACTATAGTCAAAATGACCAGTTATTGCTTTTGTATAATTTTTTTTATGTATAAACTTATAAATAATATTTACAGAATGTACACCATACAATTTTGAGTTCCTTAATATGGACGTTCGTATTGTCTAAGCGTTAATGTTAGTATTCGCTCAATCGCCTTCTATGATCGTTGATTCTTTCATCAAGGACTATCATCCTCAGTTTAACCGTTTTTGGTACAGCAATTTGTAATACTTAAGTCATGTAATGATTTCCATGACTAACTAGAGAACTATATTTGGACACGAGCTACTTCCCTTCCAGAGGAAAGTAGTTATAAGTTGTAGTTAAAAAAGGATTTTGGTTTCCGGTCACAATCTTTTGATCCAAAAAGAATTTTCTAACCAAACTTTTTAATAATGCCCGATAAGGAAATGAAAACATTATTAATTTGCAAGCCCTAGGTCGAAGGTCAAGGTTACAGCAGTTATTGATAGACTGTTATTGGGGCATAATATAAAATCCGAATAATATCCTTTGAACCTCATATCAAACCTTAAACAAACTTAGCTAATACGTGGCCCTTGGACAGCTAACTATTGAATTTTGGGTCAGCAGGTCAGCAGATCAAGGTCAATGTGCATTTTATTAGACTGATATTTCGGAAAATATTCGTGTCAATGGGTCAAAGCTGAAATTAAAAGACTGATATATTGGCATATTTTGGGTTTTGGATAATAACTTTTGAAGATACATCCAGTCATTTTGAAAGTCAGTTTGACAAATTCCCACGGAAAGAGACAAATTTGAGTATTTTTTTTTAATTTTTGGACAACATCTTTTGTTCCGAAATCAGACCTTTACCAAATTTGAATAGAGAGGAAGATTGCAAATGAATTTAAAGTCGTTATGATTAAGATAAAGGTCATATCAACTAAAAATATACTGATATCAGGCTAAAATTTTAGTTTCCTTGAAATTCAGGAAAATATCTAGTTTCTGGCTATAGCAGGTTCCAATACTTCCGATGTCAGAAACTACCATCATTTAACATAAATTGTCATCAGACTTTATAGTCAACGCATCAAAAAACCAAAAAGAATAACAAACAAATGTCCCAACACAAACAAACTATATTTCTACTACAAATTCATTTGGATTGCAACTCTGCTATGCATTATGATGCTTTCTATTAATTATCTTTTTGAATTTCCCTTGAAAACAATCAATATAGAGCATATCGGTTGGTCAGTGGGTTTTATTGGACCACGATCTTTAAAATGGTCTCTCATTTTTGTGCCTTAAAGGCTGCAAACTTATTTTAAAAATGACTAATGATAATATTTTTCTATTTGTTACTGTAACAAGTTAGCAGTAGGAACGAATATAATTTTCGAATTTACTTTTTTTTTCAATTTAAGTGGCTGGGAAATATTAAGAAATAAAAAAATTGAGAATGCGTGGTGCACGCCAAGTGAGAGCTACAGCTCTCATCATTCGTTTAGATTATTTAAGATAAAAGTCTTAAAATATATTCAATATTTCCTTTACCTTTAAATGGTATTCGTAACTGAAAATTTTGAAAATTTTAAATTTATTATATATTTATTGTTAAAAACTGCGGAATATATGCTTAAGAGAAAGGTATTTAAAGTAAGGTGAGAAGTTTTTTTCCAGACATGAAGACTTTTAAACAGTCGATAAACGGCAGAGTTGTAATATCTCAAAAAAAAATACCGATTTGCATGTGAGCATTTTGTAAATTGGAAAAGAATTCATGAAAAAAATACATTTTCTACTTTAAAAGGTATATTTGATATTTAGCTAATTGATTTACATGATATTTGTTAGAAAATTTAAAATAAACCTAATCATATAAGAACAAAATGTTAATTACCTCCTTTGAAAAGGTCCTTCATTTAGACATAGGGACAGATAGAGAATTCAATTTGGGATAATAACAAAAATTTACAAATTGAAAGTATTTACACTTTAGTCCTGACCTGGCATAAAACATTTCTTATATGTGCATGTATTTAAAAAGTTTCATTCAAAAAAAAAATTTTTTATTGCACATCAGAATTTCGGTGGAGTATATAGATAGGAACACATGACAGTGGTGTTGGATGACAGAAAGGTTTTTTTCTCGTTATTTTCGATAGAGATTCACTGATTAACGTAACCCTCCTTTGAGTAACACTATGCTATTATAATGTTGTTTTCGCTGTAAATGTAAATATATCTATACATTTGTTTTACAGAAACTTGCAGTTTTAACAGTTATCAATGTTATGACAAATCATGCATCAGTCAATATCGTGTATGTGATACTATATCTGACTGTCCTGGAAGATACTTAGAGGACGAGTATGGTTGCACGTATAGTATCAAACAGACATCGTGTGAACAATGGTGGGTCATCGGGGCGAGATCAAATGGGATGTATTATATAGATCAAGGAACAGATGGTATAATATATTACCCAATTATAGTCAGTTTTTGTTGAATTATTTACCAGAAATTTAAACTATTTCAAAAATTTAAACCATTTATTTAGAAGACAATGAAGAAAATTGATTTTTTATTCGAATTGATATGCTTAATACGTTGCAAAAATGTAGTCAATGTGATGGTATATGTTTGAATTCACTATAACTTCATTTGAAATTTTCTAAACATTTTGCATATGTTGTACCAGAAAAACCCAACAGAAAGTCCCGTAAAGTTTTTTTTCCATCTGAACATTTTTGTTGACAATATAAAAAGAGAGGCGAAAGATACCAAAGGGACATTCTAACTCATAAGTTTAAAATAACCTCTCAAAGCTTTGGCAAAAAAAGGACAAGACCAAAAGACAAACAACAGTTCACAAAACACAACATAGAAAACTAAAGACTGAGCAACACGAACCCCACTAAAATACCGGGAGTGACCAACAGTCGTAACAGTGACATGTTTTGGATGATTGGGTGATTTTTATCTCGATTTCTCTATTGTATAATACGGTAAATAAAATAAAAAATAGTAGTTCTTATATTCTTGCTATCGACTTTTGATTTAAAAGAAAGTGTAGTGTAAGAGATTCAACGTAGCTGAAATTGAAAACATTGCAGAGAAATGCCATTGAAAAAATCTTTCATTGCAGATAGATATTTGGTATATTGTGAATTCAACGAACAAGACAATACAATACTGGTTTCAACATCCTTTCATTATAATTTTGTTGGCAAAATTAAAAGCGCTATTGGTCACGTTGAAACAAAATCAAATATTTTTGTATTTCCTGTGGACATGATTAAGAGTGTTATGCAGAATAACGAACAGAGGTGTTCACAAAATGTTAAACTGACATGCTATTTCCACGAAGCCTTACATTTGGATAGCAGTGGAAAGTACACAGAAACTGTTATCGAGGCATGTCATGATAGGTAAGTAACTTAGCTCCAGTTAACTCGGATGAAAAGAGTATCATCATCTGAGTTGTCATAAATGGATAATGTTTTAAAAAATAAAAACGCAATGTGGCAATGATCTTTGATAGCTATCCATTTCTTATGCTTCGGTTTTCTAATCTTTCTTTAGTCTTGATATAGCTCTGAACACAGTATTGCACATCGCATGATTTGTTTTGTTTTTATATATTCCTTATTAGAAAACTGCTTAACGGTATAATTTAGATTGAAAGTTTATTAAATCTTTATGCACACAAGCATACATATGTTTATTGAAGTCACTCTAAAAGGTAAGAGTTCCAAATGAAACCCGTACCTTTAAAATAAAAACAAATATAAAACCGTACAATATTCTCTGTGGTTGTGTTCTACGGAACTCTTTGCAGCAAAATTTAAGTCAATCATTTAATATGAACTTTTTTACTTTTTCTGTAGTTGCCATTGTATTGGAGGTATTGACTGGAGTCAAGCAGATATCAATAAAGTGTTTACTGATGATATAGAAATTTCAAATCACGACAGACTTCCGTTTAATGCTTATCTTATTCCAGAGAAGTCTTACAGTGGCGAGGGGTTTTATGATGTGACAGTTGGACCTGTTGTATGTAAATCAGGTAAAGTATGATGAACAGACAGCATGATTGTATAATTAATGACATTCTCACTTTGTTTTCGACTTATGAGTTTGGGATAGTTCGCCTCACTTTTATAATGTTTAAGCTGATCATATAACGTCCTCGGTTTTTACAGTCATTTGTATTCTTTAATGCTCACTTGAATTATATTATGTGATTCGTATACTGATATTAATTTTTTACTTCAAACTCTCCGATGAATGCTTCTTATCAGATTATTTAACTAAAATGTGAAGATATGTTTTTAACTATAACTATCTTATAATATCATTTGTGTATAATTTTCAGAAATTTCTAAAAACGGTTCCCTTAGCCAATCCCTGTGTTCTGACGGAAAATTGTATAACTATACAGATCACTGCGAAATGCGTGTAAATGATAAAAGTGATTTGATTGGTTGTAGGGATATGACTCATCTTCAGCATTGTGGTAAGACACACAAATTGTATTATAAAAACGATTTAGAATAGGAACAAAGTTAACATTGTTCTGTACCTACGAATGAAGTCCCCTAATATGTCAACATCTTTTTATTGTGACCCAGTTGAAATATATGTAAATAAGCTTAAATCTGCTATTTTTTATTATTTAGAAAAGGAAGTGAATAAATTACCTTAATCATAATTTAAGACTGACCAACTTTCACTCATGTATATAACAATAATTTTAAATAATAGAAATGACGATACTTTGACAAGAAGGTCTATTTATATTACACGAAACCTAAAATATGACGATCAAATTATAGTTTTTAAGAAATTTGCTATTTTTGACAATTTTGGTGGAAAACATCTGAACGCACGACTTGAAGTTGATTCATTGAGATTCTTGTAAATAGGTGGAGTCCTAACTACACATTTGACAGTTACTTGACCTTTTGCATAGAAAATACCGGAAACAAAACAATTACCGTACCAATTGCCGATAAAAGGGTGTGTCTTGAGCACTTAACTTTTACAAAAAAGTAAAATAACAAAAATACCGAACTCCAAGGAAAATTCAAAACGGAAAGTCCTTTAAAAAAATGGCAAAATCAAAAGCTCAAACACATCAAACGAATGGAAAACAACTGTCATATTTTTGACTTGGTACAGGCATTTTTATATAGAAAATGGTGGATTAAACCTGGTTTTATAGCTAGCTAAACCTCTAACTTGTATGACAGACACCTAAAATTCCATAATATTGACAACAATGTGTGAACAAAGCAAATATATTCACCCTTACAAAAAAAAATATGAGGCAACGGTTAATCACACTTAGATAAAAACTTTTTTTTGTAGAAAATCAGATTTGCAAGCCAGGTTACTTTAAATGCAAAGAGGGTCATTGCATCACATCGAGCTTTCTTTGTGACGGGAGAAAACATTGCATGCATGGCGATGATGAATTATTTTGTGGTAAATATAGATTATAAGTTTTAGCAGATTTTATTGATTCAAGTGACTATTCCAGATAATTTTAAAGACAAACTCTTTTCAGTCTTCAAGCTGTATAATTAAGAGAAATTTTGGGATATTAATTAAATGGTTCATTTCAGGAATGATTAAACTGTCTCCTTTAATAATCCCCGATTAGAGTCGGTTGTTCTATTGTTTCTAAAAAGCTTTTAACTCCAATACTTAAGATTTTCAAGGCAATTTATTTCTAGGTAGGGGGTATACGGCTTTATCCTTTTTCGCTAAATTTTCCATGTGTCCGTCCATCAATGAAAAATATCATATTTTTCACAAGAAAAATTCATACAATAAATTCATGAAATTTGCATTCAAGCTTCATGTGAGTATGATATACCGCGTGATGCAATTTGACATCTCTCCTCATCAGCTTCCCGATAACAAAATTCGTATAGCGAGGGTATGATAAATGTGCAAATAGTTGATACTTATTTGCATAGACCAATGAAATTATTCTCAAAACAAATGCAGGTGCTATTGACCATCGTCCAAAAGGTATTATCATTTTTCCGTTTTAAAAGTACGTTACTTTTTCATCATGAGGAATGTATTACAGATCAGAATACTGACAAAAAAGTATTAACAAAAATACCAAATTCCAAGTTAAATTAAAAAAGAGAGAAGTTCGTAAACCCTGATAAAACCAATCGAACGACTCTATCCACCAACGGAACTAATGGAAAACAGCTGTCATATTCCTCACTTGACACAGACATTATCGGAAGAAAATAGTGGGTAAATCCTGGTTTTATAGCCAGCTAAACCTCTAAATGTATGACAGTTGTATTTTCGTAACATTTTTTTTTGAAAATCTACAAAAATTACTGTTATTTTATAATATAAATTATCGTATACTATCGATTCAGTAGGAACGAAGAATGATTCTGATAAACACTTTTATTCCGTAAACTCCAGGACAAAAGTTGCGGAGCATCGATCGCCGACAGGGCTTACTTAAACAAATTCAAAACATGCAAAGGTCAACTTTGCTCAATGGAAGTGGAGATGTTGATTTAAACATTTCTTTGATTTATAAACTGAAATTTGCAATCATAATTTATCAGTCAAAATCTTTTAATGAGGTTAGTTTATATATGACTGCTTTCAGGAAATTTAACCTGTCCTGGATTATATAGATGTCAACAGTCAACCACTTGTTTGTTATTTGATGAGGTTTGTGATAACATTAGACAATGTCCTCATGGGGATGATGAAATTGGATGTGATGTCACATGTCCTTCAGGATGTTCGTGTGAAGGTTTTGTATTTATATGTCATCAAAAAGAAGTAGAAACTGTTTTCATGGATCTGTCTGTTGAAGCAAGAAAACTAGATTTGAGCAGCTCAGTATTTCCAAATAATAATTTAATCGTTCCTGCATATACGTACCTTGCTGAACTTAATCTATTCAACTGCAGCATTGCAAATATTATGCCATACTCATTTGAGCAATTAATGAACCTTCTTCATTTAGATTTGAGCAGTAACAAAATAAAGGTTTTAGATAGTTACACATTCTATGGTCTCACCAAACTAGTAACCTTAAACTTAAAAAACAATCTGATGCTGGGATTAATCAAGCCATATACGTTCATGTCATTACCCAATGTCAAAGGGCTGGAACTGTCTGGAACTAGAATAAAAAAACTTTTCGATGGGACATTTAATGGTTTAGAAAACCTTGAAACGCTTATCATAACAGGGAATGGACTAACTAATGTAGAGAAGAAAGGATTTGATGGACTTGTATCTCTTATGATAATTGATTTGACAGGAAACGATGTGACAGAATTTTCTCTAGATATATTTTCTCGCCTTTCTCATTTAACAGAAATAAAAACTGATTCCTATATATTTTGTTGTTTAAAACCAGAATCTGTTTTCGCAGATAAATGTTATCCCAAAATGGACGAATTTTCCTCGTGTAGCGATTTGATGAGAAATGATGTATTGCGTGTGTGCCTATGGATTATTGCAGTTAATGCTTTAATTGGAAATATTGGAGTAATACTTTATCGTATAATCTACGAAAAAGCGTTGCTTTTCAAGGCAAATGGACTATTCATTATGAATCTTGGTGTTTCAGACATGTTAATGGGTGTGTACCTCGGCATTATTGCTGTTGCTGATATGTTCTACTCTGGAAACTACATTTTACATGACAGAAAATGGCGAGATAGTCTTGTTTGTAAATTTGCAGGTATCATTGCGGCCATCTCATGTGAAGCATCTGTTAATTTTATTATGTTAACAACTCTTGATTGCTATTTAATGGTGAAGTCCCCATTCGGCAGAAGGAGAATGACATACAAAACAGCAAAAATTTCGACATTTGTATGCTGGGTATTTGTAATCATTATAGCTGTGGTCCCGATTTTTAACACGTCGTATTTTTCAAATACGTTTTATTCAAGAACAGCAGTTTGTTTGGCTTTACCATTTTCTCGACAGAAAGTCAGCGGATGGGAATATTCAACAGCTGTTTTCGTGTTTTACAATAGTATTGCGTTTACTGTAATAGCTTGGTGCCAATTTTCAATTTACAATGTAGCTAAAAGTAGTAATAGAATAATGGCGAAGAGGACAAAACAAGACCTAACACTGGCTCGACGATTATTTTTAATTGTTTTAACAGACTTTCTTTGTTGGTTTCCTGTTGGAATAATGGGTAAGTGATCCACGAAGCAAGGTAAGCAATATCGACAGGTAAACTCATGGTTAAATACTGATATATACAGACAAACCGTCAATTCAGGAACAAATGCACCCACCCACACCAGGAGACAAGCCCCCAGGCAAAAACCATCTCAACTGCTATTGTAAATAAACAATTACAATGATTACTTTTTTTGTGTTTTTGTTTATGAAAGTCTTTAACGGGGGCTATCTTATTGCATAATTTAAAAAAAAATAATCTAGAAATTACAATTTAAATTTGAAATATGACCACATTTTGGTAACTCCAAAGAAGCCAATCAGGGTGTGTGGACAGGGCAAGCATATCCTGCTATTAGTGCATCTAACCACAGGCGAATTAAAAGACGAAAACATAAAGTATTCCTGTTAAAACCTTCATTAATCAAAAAATTCGGATCAAAAATATAAAATTTGCTTGCCGACTTGTTGCATAATTATTTCTGACTTCATACATAATCTTGTCAAGAAAAAAAAGAAGAAGCTGACATCTATCCCAATCAAAGTTCACGTTTCGATATAAAGATGATTTTTCTTCACTGATAAACACAAAGTTTGTTGATTATGTAGACTGTATCTATCCCAATGAACTTGGAATAGAGGATACAGTTTAGCCTGCTTCATATTTTGACCAATATCTGTAAATTAAAGCAAATGGAGGTCGGTTGAGAACAAAACTGTAGAAAAAAAGATGATTTCAATGCTCCAATTGTGAACTTTTCATTTCTATGTAACCCCATTCAAGCAACACCTGTATATTACGTATATATCTCCCTGCTTATACGATATTCCATGACTTGCGTTTCATATTATGATTTTTATAGAGGGTTTCCTGCTTACATAGAAGTTGTTACACCAAGGTTTCCAAATGTAAATCTGAAAACACACTTTCAAATGTTGTACGGGCGCTATCATGATTTTATAAACGTATGAATTATATATGTCACAGATGCTCCCGGATATGCTCCACTTGTTACAACTATAATCAAGTCTTCTTCTTTGATTTTGACATTACTGACTTATCTCCTTATTGTACTTGCAATGAGCTGCACGACGGCTGCCAGAAGAGAAACAGTGACTGCGTATATTTGTGGAAACACTGAGTTCCCTAACTTTTTCTTAATGGGTTTTATTTGTGTTCTGTTATTGTTGTCTGTTATTTAGTCATTTGTTTTCTTTTTAGACTTTTTTGGCCATGGTGTTGTCTAATTTTTGTTTAATTACAATTTTGATTGCTTCCTTGGTATTTTCTTTGTTTTTTGCAATGCAAACATAACTTTTATGATCAAATTGGTTTTATTAACATTACAACAGCTTTTCTGGTAAAATCTGAAACTGACAAGTTGTACTTTTTTGCTGTGACAATTCTCTCCTCATGCCATAAAATAGTTCGAGTGTGGATTAACAAGCTTAGCAACTATTTTCTAAGTACCCTCAGTGGTGCATGCCGTTCAGAATAATTGTAATCTGTAAAAAGTTGAGGATTCAAAAAATTGAAAAAGCTCCCCCCTCCCCAAAAAAATCCCGAATCCAACCAGACTGACGATTCCGAGCTATGAATAATGAATACAATTGTTTGTTTCTAAATAAATGCAGCATGAGGAATAACATACACATTTTGTCCTCTAAAGTAATAGAAAACGTCAAGTCGTATAATGATTCCAATATGTGAAGCAATTCTGCGGAAGATTGTTTTTGCATATTTGCATAGCCTTCTATGTTTTATGCAGTGTTGTATTGTGTGTTTTATCAGCACCAAAGTCACTCTGTAAGTATTTAGTTTATGAGTATCTGAAGATACAAAAACAAACTAAGTGACAATTCAAATAACTGGAAGGGACCTGTAGATTGGACTAAACTAATGTTTTAGCTTAAAAAGTTGTTTCTTTTACGCTTGATAAATCTATTAATAAATACATATAGGTTTTTTTTTTCATTTTAGGCATGCTAGCAATGACTGGTCAAGTATTTCCCCCAGAAACTTATTCTTGGGTAGCTGTATTTGTGATGCCGTTAAATGCAGCACTAAATCCTTTTCTTTACACGTTTTCAACAATCAAACAGGTACTTACTTAACAATAAACACATTTGAGCAACACCTTCTGTAAAAAAAATCTATTTCTTGGATCTGTCCCTTTAAAATTGCATGATTATGCATTTGGAATATTTCTGAAGTAATTGTAAAATCGTGCAATATATTTGAAGAGCCGAGGATTGCATATTATGACTTTTAGTTGAAAAGAGTTTTGAAAATCTAATAATACACTTCTTAATAAACACATTGAAGAATTCAATGTATTGTCAAACAGGAAGTAGGCCTGACAGATTCCAAATTTTCTAACACATTACAAAAGAAAACGTTACAAATCACCACTGTCAAGCTATTGACTAACTATTAAACCATTCTGTTCAGTAGTTCTAGTAAGGGGAACGATCTTATATTAAAACATTTTTTTTTGTACAGACAAATTGGCATATAATTGCAATATAACCGCTCAATCCTTGATTGGATACAGTATCGATATTATACCTTGTTATAGAAACTTGTTATGCAGTTCCTTCTTTGTTTTCACAACTAAATGTAAGATAAATTAGCGCACTTGAATTGTATGCTTCTGCAACTTAAGTAGAGGACTAAAACTATATAACCATATCCGACTACATCGACTAATCAATCTGATTAAAACACTGCAAGTTCCATTATGTGAAAGCCGGTCCTAAAACCCAGGGAAAGATAATTAAAGTAGTACAGATTTTGAATTAGAAATCGATATCGATAATTGTTAGTTACGAATTCAAGATTAATGTTCCACAATTCATCTTCTTAATTTAAAAATTTATGACTGTTTTCTTTTGTAGAAACCAAATATTCTTGGTAAAATATCTGGCAAAATATTCCAGATCTCCAAAGTTAAAGACCGACTTAAAGGTAAGAAAAAAAGTTAATTCTGCATTTAAATGCATATTCTATACGTTTCGAAACTAAAAAAGGATGTCATACAGACTTTTTCTTTTGCATGTTTATTGATTCTGTCCCACAAATTACAACGTTGCAAGCTGCATATAAAATTGAGAATGGAATTGTGGAATGTGTCAAAGAGACAACAACCCGACCAAAGAGCAGAAAACACATATAAATATGTTGACTTATAAATCAATTTTTTTTTCAGATACATCAGCTGAAATGTTTATGGCTTCTGCATTTATCAACAACTCACAAATGCTGAAAATGAAGCACATAACTCTGAGAGAACTATTTGCCTCGAGGAAACTTACCATTAAGGAGAGCATTCGTCTGGTGTCACAACTTACCGCCGCAATAGCATATTTGCATCATCATTATTTAACACTTTGTCAACCACTTTCATTAGATACTTTAGCTGTCTTTATGGATAGAAAGGTAATTTTAATTGTCTTGTCACCAGTGATGACTATTTCAATCTGGCTCCATAATTGTTTTGAACGCTTTTTGGTTTGATTGTTCTAAACAAAATGTGTTTTCCATTTAAATATGCAGTCATTGATTGGTCAAATCTTCATTCAAGTATACTACAGGAAAGCAAATATGTTATGCTTTTTGAACATTCATTGTATATCTATTTTTTACAATGAAATTCAGAAGATTATATAACATACCTCATCGCTTTGGCAAATGTCTTCAATCAGCGACATTTTTTTTTAATTTAAAGTATATCTTATGAATATTTACAAATATATACATAATAACTGAACATAGATTTAAATAAAGTAGAATTACTTTTAATTTGTTGAACTTATAGAATGCAATTACATATGTTTTTGCGTTTTGTCTGGTTAATATACTTTAACAGAACTTTCTTGAACATAAGTTTCGTGTACTTATTCATTTGCTCCGATTAAAGTCATTTAGGATATACCAATACATTCACTTTATAACCCCTAAAAAATCTCTAAAGGTTGAGAAGGCTAATAAGTTCAAAAGTTGATGAGCAGTTAAGAAAAGAAGAAGAAAAAGATGATAATGATGAGGATGATGATGATGATCTTTATCGTGCTCACAATTTAATATTTTTCACGCAATTAAATAATATGACCAATCTTCTTTACAACATGCATATTTATAATTCAGACCATCATACGAATAAAGGTGATTTCTGAAATAAAAGATATTAGAAATGAACTGGATACTGCTCAGGATGTAGACAACATCGGAAAGATAACTAAACTGGTATTAAGGAATACAAGAAAACTGCCAGAAGATGGCAATGTGTATTAGCAATTTATAAACAGATTACAAATTCTACACTATAAGCTAATGTTAACATGTACAAATGTGTGTTTACCTTGCATTTTCTGTAAATACCAATAAATGACGTTTACTACAATGGGTATTCTATTTCATATGTTACCGAAGGCCTAGGAGTCATTAAGATTTGATATCACTCACACCTACATAATGGCTCATCAGTGATCGTTCATGCTTTTCATTTTGGTCGACTTAAGTATCAAGCAGTACATATGAGATGGAATTCTTGTGAAAAAGTTTAATCTTTTTGAGAGAGAAAAGCATGACATTCTCCCATGTTAATATATGACAAATTACTATGGACAAAATGTAGGACCATCCAGTCTTTTAAAACTTTTAAACAATAACAAAATCAATCTTAATGTCCATAAACATTGAGTACACAATGATCGTATCTATATTTAAGAGACAAATAAACATCATCGATGTTTCTTAGCTTATTTTGACAAAATTGAACCAAACTGGCTGCTAAAAGCGAATTATTATTTCACTATTTCACTTTCATTAATGATTGAACCAAAACAAAATCATATTTCAAAATTTTTATTTATCTCGTAGCTAGTTCCCCTTTCAGTAACAAAGTTCCATCTTGTTACTATGTCTGTAGAAGGATAATTTGTTTTATTTTGAAAAAAATGATGCTGACATTTTTACTGTATATGAAGCTGGAATAAATGATATGCATGAGACGAACATTCATTTAAGGCAAAATTAAAGTTGCCAAGACCTGTTGTATTGTTTAAGCTTATTGTATTATCTTGCTAAAATAGTATGAATAACACACTGTATATTCATTTGTTTTTATTGTCGTATTTGTATTTGTCTTTGTATTTTGTAAATGTCAGCTGGTATCATTACTGTATTGGAATTAACACGAATAAAACTACTGGATTTATTTTTAAAAAATTAGATAAAAAAACAATTACAGATATAAAGCGGAACAACCACACTAACCTTTCGAATCCTAATCATTTAAAAAGAAACTTTTTTTAATGTGTAGTCTATAGCATAAGTTACTGCTTTGTTTCTTTAGTGTATTCAGAAAGAGTTCATATTGAGGGAGATAATTGGCAAGGGCTAGTTGTTGATAACATTAAATCAGCTGATCAATACTTGTTCTTTCATGAAAATAGGAATTATAATCCAATTCTGTCTATTTATAGTATTGATCGTAGTGAATATCGGTGCATTTCTACGAAAGCTGGACACAATTGATAATGAATTTTTATAGCAGATTTGCTACTCGGTTAAGGGGATATAGTTCATGAGTCTAGGACATTTTGCCTTTTATAGCCTTATTGAGATTGTCATGTTTTATGAGAAGATAGGGTGAAATTTTACGAATTCCTGTCTCTTTAGCTGAAATTCCTATTGGTGAAGGTAATGCTTGCATTTGTTTTAGAAAATTTACATAGAAGTTTCCGAGTAACTTGACGTTGGTATCACCAGCCCAGTATTCAGCACTTCGGTGTTGACATGAATATCAATTATATGGTCATTTTTATAAATTTCATGTTTACAAAACTTTGAATTTTGCGAAAGAACTAAGGATTTTCTTATCCCAGGCATAGATAACCTTAGCCGTATTTGGCACAACTTTTTGGAACTTTGGGTCCTCAACGCTCTTCAACTTTGTACTTGTTTGGCTTTATAACTATTTTGATCTGAGCGTCACTGATGAGTCTTATGTAGACGAAACGCACGTCTGGCGTATTAAATTATAATCCTGGTACCTTTGATAACTATTGACGTCACAATCAATTAACAGAGCAATAGTTTTAAACTGTATAAGAACCTTGTCAGAACATATACACACCTAATATTATATATGATGGTTTGGGGTTTAATCTGTTTGTACCATGCGCTCTAACATTTATAAGGGTAAGATTTAAGGCATTTAGAATAATTAGATTTATATGTTGTAATACGTTTAGTTGGTGTATTTTATATCTCTATAAAAATAAGAAGAAGTGATCTAATTGCCAATGAGACAACTCTCCACCAGAGACTTACTGCCATAGATGTTAACAGCTATATGTCACCTTACGGTCTTCACCAATGCGCAAAACCCATACCGCATAGTCTCCCTAGAAGGCCCCGAAATGACAAATGTAAAACAATTCTTTGTTGGTAATATACTTTTGGCGTGGCTAGGTATTCAGCTATGGTCGTTTTTGAATTCCTGCCCTTTCATTTTTGCTTATGTACTTTGTCTATACATTGTCTATAAGTCGTTTTGTTTTTCTTTGTTGAAATAGTTATTTGTTTTTATTGTGAATAAGATTAAAGCACTATGGTGACTGTTGTACCCAAAATTTGTGACATTTTTAACTATTATGTCTATTTGTTTTGCTGTTGTAAATATAATGGAATTCTATATACTGTCATAGAAGTGAGAGGTTTAGCTAGCAATAAAACCAGGTTAAATCCACCATTTTCTTCATAAGGAAATGCCTGTAACAAGTCAGGAATATGAGTTGTTTTCCATTTCTTTGATATGATTGAGCTGTTGATTTTGCCATTTGAAAAAAGGACTTTCTATTTTGAGTTTTCCTTGGAGTTCGGATATTTTGTTATTTTACATTTTTTCAAACGAGAAAACTAATGACCTGATTTATGTAGAAAATAATGAACGAAAAACAAATAAGATATACAGCAACAAAATAATTACAGGCAACTGACGGGACGGTCTCATACAGAATGTGGCGGGGTTAAACTAGTTTGAAGGCTCCAGCCTTCCCTAACATTGGAGAGTGGTGTAACTGTACAACATAAGTAAAACTATCTAAGCAGAAATGTATTTAAAAAAAACACATACTTATACATCCCACAACAAAACAGACACCGAGTACAGATCTGAGAGTACTCGCAGTTACTGACAGCTAGTTCAAATCCAAAAACAACTAATAAAAAAAAAAACATGCATCTTGGAATAAAATATCAACAGTACACATCCAATGGATCTATGTTAAGACGTTATTAACAGTCAGAGAAAAAGATGACCTTGTGCAATGCCAAGATAGAGGTATCGACAGATTGTAGAACCATGAATGTGCATATGTATATAAAAAAATACTATTCAGTTTGAATTTAATTCACTGATAGCAAGATCAAAATTAACACCATAAAAACAAAATTTGACTATATAAACCCATTGTTGAATTGGTCACCTTTTAGAATACGTTTATATAAAGAATCGATAAGTTTACCCGTATCGTATCTTAATTTCCGGGCTTAGTAAACAAAAATTAAGATGTTCTATACCGTATAAATTGGTTTTCTACAACAAAAAAGAATTTCTTTTTATGTGTCAAAAATGAGCCGAAAGATACCAAAAGGACAATAAAACACATAAAACGAGAATAAACTGACAACTACATGGCAAAAGAAGAAAAAGACCAAATTCAAATAAAAGTATGCAAAACACAACATTGAAAAATTAAAACTGAACAACATGAACCCCACAAAAACGGGGGTGATCTTAGGTGCTTCGGAAAGATAAGCAGACCATGCTCCACATGTGGCACCCAACGTGTACTCATGCAAATGCAAACCATGTGCTATGTCTAATTAGGTGATCAATATAAAAAAGAAGATGTGGTATGCTTGCCAATGAGACAACTCTCCACACAGAAATTAACAACTATAGGTCACCGTACGGCCTTCAACAATGAGCACAGCCCATACAGCATAGTCAGCTATAAAAGGCCCCGAAATGACAAATGTAAAACAATTCAACCGAGAAAACTAACGGCCTAATTTAAGGTCAAGCATAGTTTGTATTTCTTCGTAAGTTTATAATTATGATATAATATAACTGTCTGCAAAGTTTGGAATCCAGCATAGTTTGTGCAAATGTATTAACCCATATCATTTTCTTTTGATTCTTTGAAAAGGTCATTAATGTATAGTTTGTGTAGTCGAGTGCGGCGTATTCCTCTTTTACGGATGCCCTGATATTCTGGAAAGCTAAATCCGTTTTTCCATTTGACCTTAGAGGTTATACTTACCAGAAATAATTTTCCAATATCAGGGTCAATATTTTGGTCAAATAATCTGTCGGGGTAAAATATGATGGACGACTTCAAAAGCGTTTGGAGAGTCAAGCAGTCAACGCATTTATCATAAACCGAAAACTGCATTTGTACTACTATAGTCATCTGTTCAATGTTCACCTATGGTATCCATGTTTTCATCGAATAGGAGAAAAAAGATTAGCATTTAAAGAGAACATGCAATACATCATTACAGCCAATGTTCAAAATATTTGGCTTCATGGTCTCAAAATGGAAAAAAAATATACCATCGCTTTACTAAGATGAGCCACAAATACTAGTATAAGCTCAACAAGCCTTAAAGGGCCAGTTTCTAAAAAAACTAAATGTCGACCATTAAGCATGAATCTAGCACAGGTTACTCCTGTCTGACAAATTTTAATGTTGCCTAATTATTCTCTTAACAAATTGTTAAGACATTTTTTTTGACAGAAGACTGTTGCTATCAAGAAAGCTAATTAACGGAAATATCTAATAGAGAAACTGAACTTCTATTCAATTAGAAAATCTTCATTTTTTTGTTTTCCATTCATTTAATGATGTTTGAGATGGAAAACACTTTTAAAAATACCTTTTAGTGATCCAGATATTGCTTAACGTAAAACAACATTTCAATATAAAGTTATTAGTTGTTAATTGTTACTTACTTTAAAAATGTCAATATATATATAACACTTAGCTCTGAGGTTGATAGTGCATATTTCCTATTCTTATGAGGATAATGGTGTGTATTACCCTACCACAGTTCATATTTAACAGCTATCATCATGTAGCCTTTTAGAATTTAAGCAACATATCTTTTTAGTTAATGTAAAGTAAAGTGTGATACGTTAACATTACAAAATAATGTTTTATAAAGGTGTGGTAGGCAAAACAGAAATCGACAGTTCTTAAACATGTTAAACCTCACAAATACTGTTTTAATCATAGCTAGATTACTCTTGCAAATTAAGTCATACTTCGACAATAAACCCATATATTTGAGATAAACTTTTATTTAAACTATA